TATATATATATATATATATATATATATATATATAGAGTATATATAGTATAGTATATATAGAGTGACCCTGCAGCACAAAAGCAGTCTTAAGTCGCTGGGGTATATTTGTAACAATAGCTAAAAAAATCATTGTATGTGTCAAAATATAAATTTTTCTTTTATACCAAAAATCATTAGGATATTAAGTAAAGATCATGTTCCATGAAGATATTTATTAAATTTCCTACCGTAAATATATCAAAACTTCATTTTTGATTAGTAATATGCATTGCTAAGGACTTCATTTGGGCAACGTTAAAGGCGATTTTCTCAATATTTAGATTTTTTTTGCACCCACAAATTCCAGATTTTCAAATAGTTGTATTTCGGCCAAATATTATTCTATCCTAACAAACCATACATCAATGGAAAGATTATTTATTCGGCTCAATTTTTAAAAAATTGACCCTTATGACTGGTTTTGTGGTCCAGGGTCACATATATATAAATTAAATAATATATTATGTTATCTTTATTTTACTGATAGTATAATAATTAATAAATGTTAATAGAAATCAACACACATTAATAATAATAATAAACTAATGGTTTATTTAAAAATTTTAATAATACATTAGTATTAATAATAATACAAATACTATTATTTAATAAAAAAAGTGTGTGTTATTATTCTGAAATGTGTGTGTGTATATATGTTAAATTGTATTATAGTGAATAGTTTTATAGTAGTATTATTTTATTAAAATAAATAGAATATTATAATAATAAGAAATGGAATAATATACAAATTTATTTAAAGTATTATTTATTAGTATAGTAATACGTTAATTATTTTTATATACTATTAATACTGGATTTATGTATGATGTGTTAATAATGTTGATGATGTAAATAATATGTTATTATTATTATTTATTAAACGGTATTACTTAAGTATTATATAAAACATATTTATTATTAATAACAATAAAAGAATGAGTTGGGATCCTGCCCGTTTTGAACTCTGAAATGGCACATTTTGAACGTCAGTGGTGTTTTTAAATTAATGACATTGTAATGCAGAATGCTGTTGTTGATTGTGTTGTTTCAGGGGCAGTATGCTGGAAGGAGCAGATCCTAGTTATTCGCAGTCAGCCTCATCCCCTCAGAGCATGGACAGCGTTTTAACATCAGGAGACGGTGAGATCCGTTTCCAGCAGAGCAATTTCTCTTACAGATCTCTTTTTCTTTTCTTTTTTACATTTATGTGTGTATGTTTCTGACAGGAGGGGGGAAACGTCCTCTTCAGACGGTTCCTGGTATTCCAGGAGGGACTAGAGCCGGAGCTGGCAAGATTGGACGCATGATAGCTGAGGAAGTGATGGAGATTCAGAGGTACGTGCAGCATCCGGCACATATAGGTTGCACTGCAATATGATTCACAAAAATATTTGATTCTATAATGATGTCCCGCCCCCAGGATTCGAGGCTCCTCCCCTTCAAGCTGTGGCTCCAGTCCTTTAAATATCACTGCCACGCCCCCACCTGACACCTGCTCTCCAGGGGGAAAGAGGGTGAGAGAGCCGCCTCACAAAATCACTCTTTGACCACATTTACATCTACAGTTAAAGGAATAGTTCACCCAAAAAAGAACATTTGCTGAAAATGTACTCGCCTCAGGCCATCCAAGATGTAGATGAGTCTGTTTCTTCATCAGAACAGATTTGGAGAAATTTAGCATCATGTCACTTGTTTACCAATGGATCCTCTGCAGTGAATGGGTGCCGTCAGAATGAGAGTCCAAACAGCTGATAAAACCCTCACAATAATTTACAAACCATCAATTACTGTCTTAAGTGAAAAGCTGTATTTGGATTAATTAATTTTGCAAAATTATATTGCAAAATGAACACCGAAATTTGCAGCAAGTTTACATTTTTGGTTGAACTATTCCTTCAAGACTGAATAAGGTTAAAAAAATAGATATGATTGATTAAAATAAGATTTTTTTTGTATTACAAATTTTCTGAAATGTTATGTTCTCAAACTTATCCATATCTAATTTGCATACATTTCCAGAAAAAAAACCTAAATCTAATCAGAAATCTTTTTTTTTTTTTTTTTTTTTTACATGAGGGTAGTTTGGATGTCTTCACTCCATTAATCGTAAAATACTGTCCATAAATCGTAAAATACTGTCAACGCAGTTTTAACGTTTCTAGGAATACAATTTTATATAATGCTGTATATAAAATATGGCAGCAAATCCCTCTGTAGAATAAAACTGTAAAGTTATTTATTTGTACGTATTTACATATACGTGATTTTAAAGGCCATTTTCTTAAAATACACACAGAAGTAAATAGTGTAATAAAATAAACATTTAAATATGTATTTTTCGAATGTTTTCCTGAATTAATCAGAAACAGTATATTATGAAAAAACCAATAGCCCCAAATCTAAAAATTGACCGGTGCATAAAACAAAATAGTGTCTTGTTTCTTTTGATTCTTTTACGTTACAGTTTTGTTCTTCTGTAACATTTTTTTTAGAAAAGCTGTATTTGGATTAATTAATTTTGCAAAATTATATTGCAAAATGAACACAGAAATTTGCAGCAAGTTTACATTTTTGGTTGAACTGTTCCTTCAAGACTGAATAAGGTTAAAAAATAAGATATGATTGATTAAAATAAGATTTTTTTTGTATTACAAATTTTCTGAAATGTTATGTTCTCAAACATATCCATATCTAATTTGCATACATTTCCAGAAAAAAAACCTAAATCTAATCAGAAATCTTTTTTTTTTTTTTTTTTTTTTTTTACT